TCTGGTTCTGCTGGTTCTGCTGGTTCTGCTGGTTCTGGTTCTGCTGGCTCTGGTTCTGCTGGTTCTGCTGGTTCTGATCGCATTACTCTGACAGAACTTGATCTCCCCGAGCCTCCGCTCCTCATTCTCCCACCCAACGCCCGTATGATCCCAATCCACCGCTCTGGAGGGTATTACGGTCAAATGGAGCTAAAACATGAAAGAACACATGTGACTTGTGTTTGAACTAGAAAGTGTCTTGAATCAGATTTTAATTAGGAACGGATGAACAGGATTAGCTCCGGTATTTCTTTATTTTGAAAGGACCAATCATTCTGGATACACCCGTAGAAAGAAGAAGAAGTACACACACACACACACCACCAGTAGCATCAAATTAGCAGCACAGGTTTGTGAAATTTCAGCTATCAGAATCTTTGAGGCAATAGTATTAAAAAAGGATAAATCATCAGAAACCTGAGGGGTGATGACTGACAGGGTGATGATTTAGGCAAAGTTCTTTTACAGTTCATCTAACAAGTCAACATTTAATTCAAGTTTAGATTCCAACCTGCTGCTTCCCAGCAGCTGAGGAAAAAGCTGGTTGGAGCTCAGGGTTAAGAGCACTTCCAGGTAGAAATGAAAGTCAGAAATGAAAGCAAAAAGCTTGAATGAAGGTCTGCTGATGCAGAGAGTTATGTTACTTTATTTGATTTCACCCAGTGGCGTCCTGTAGAAAAAAACATTTGCCTCTCATGACAAACACACACTGAAACTCTTTTTGCTGTCAGTCCAGGTAGTGGCACTCACATTTCCTTAACTCTGAGGTAAACGCGGAGAGAGTGGGCCAGTCAGTCAGATGCACTCAGCACCTGATTGGTCGTCAGCCTCGGAGACTCGACAGTTACTATGGTGACAGAGCAGGTTTTTAATAAGGATTATTGTGCGTTTTACCTGTCTTACTGTGTGACTATGAATCACAGAGAGGTATGTCTGAGCATGAAGCACGCAGGGTCAACACACACATGGAGTCTGAATTCACCACGTGATCATATATTATATAAGAGTACACACACACACACACAAACATATACATACAGGACTGTCTCAGAAAATTAGAATATTGTGATAAAGTTCTTTATTTTCTGTAATGCAATTAAAAAACATGAAATGTCATACATTCTGGATTCATTACAAATCAACTGAAATATCTCAAGCCTTTTATTGTTTTAATATCGCTAATTATGGCTTACAGCTTAAGAAACCCAAATATCCTATCTCAAAATATTAGAATATCGGATTTTTGAGTTTTCTTCAGCTGTATGCCATAATCAGCGATATTAAAACAATAAAAGGCTTGAGATATTTCAGTTGATTTGTAATGAATCCAGAATGTATGACATTTCATGATTTTTAATTGCATTACAGAAAATAAAGAACTTTATCACAATATTCTAATTTTCTGAGACAGTCTTGTATATATGGAACGAATAAAAACATTTGATGTGTGTGTGTGTGTGTTTCCAGGTGCATCCCAAAGCATCGTGTGTGTCTGAGCAACTCGTCGGACTGTCCGCAGTACGAGTGTGTTGGCCGGCCGGCGGCGTGCGACCGGAACCGTCTGGAGCCGGTGTGTGACGCCGAGGGCCTGACCCACCTCAGCCTGTGCCACCTGCAGCAGGCCGGGAAGACTCTGGCCTACACGGGCCAGTGCCAGGTACAGGGGCGGCCCGGCACAAAACCAGGGCAGGGTTCTGCTCAGAGAATCGCTGATAGATCCGGAACTGTCCGCAGGAGGCCTGCAGGAAGCCGCAGAGGGTCTGCGGCCACAACGGGGAGACCTACAGCACGGTGTGTGAGGCCTTCTCCGACCGCGTGGCCGTGGACTACGAGGGCTCCTGCCGCACCGTGGGCTCTCTGACCGACACCGGCCCCGAGCTGGCCTGCAGCTCAGTGTCCTGTCCAAAGATACCCACCCCGGGCTGCCACCCCATCACCCCGCCCGGTGAGTGGAGGAGCTCCACAACGTTTAAAAGGCTCCAGGTTTAGTGGCTGACCTGTAACCCTGACCCGGCTTGTGTCCAGGAGCCTGCTGCCCCATATGTGCCAGCATGCTGCAGATCCTCTGGAGCCATAAGCAGATGAACACTTTCTCAAAGGTAGGAAAGAGTCAGAGTTCTGCCTGTGTCCACTGTCCACTCCATAATGTTCACCAACCATTCAGAAAAATGAAATGCAGCAGTCTTTTTGTATGGATGCTGATAAATATCACATTGTGAAGGCTACATTTCTCAAAGTGATGTTACGCAATGATATCTTTTTGTTCTGAGCTGAAGGATAAATGGTATTGAAGTTCCCATGATGAGTTCCTGCATCTGGAGGCTGATAAGACTTAATGTAACGAGACTTGATGTAATTGTGTGAGTTTGCCACTTGATGGAGCTACAAATCAAAAAAGCCCACAGTATATAGACAGTGCAAATGTCTCAGGAATAACAAGGAATAACGCCACTTAATGCGAGAAAAACAACAATACTTTCATTTGAGCAGGAGTTATGGACTGTATAGGGATTAAAAAGCTATTGAAGGTACCAAAGGTTCAAGTAAATTCTATATTTTACAGTGTAAACTCAGGTTTTCATTACATATCCCCTGAGTATGGTAGGTTAGACACCTCACAACAAAAGATCTGCTCTGGAAACACTTGGAATACTTGGAAATATAGTATTTGCTGGTAGTTTTGGTTTGTGGCTCTGTTACATTAAAAGACACGTTTACACATCAGAAACAGGCGGCCGTTAGGCTACACTCTGGACAGGTGGCCAGCCCATCGCAGGACCACACACAGATGAGGGAGACAGACAAACGTGCACACCCACGCTCACTCGTTAAACCAACATGCCTGTTCAGGATGGTGGAACATGAAACTCCCCTCAGGAAGCCCCCCAGACCCCAAAGTTTCAGTGACAGCAATAAATCCCTAAAGTCCTTCTAAAGTTTTTGGTGTTGGAACTTAACAGGTGAATGTGGAAAACTTCCCTGGTGTTATTTCCTCATGCTGTAGAAGTGTTGGAGCACTTCTACGGAATCCATCCAACATAATTCAACACAACATAGACCTTCCCTAAAGCTGGGACCACTGGTCCTAAGCACCCAAAGAGAGGGCAACTACAAAGCCCAACAGTAGAATGTCCTCAGTAGCATGGCTGTATACGATACTGCATTTCATTCTGATTAGTTTAATCACACTGTAAAGTCCTTATTAGCTAATAGTCAACTTGAAAGTAATCTTCTTCCTAAGCATGGAAATATTTGGCAGTAAGCCTTTTAGAACCAGATAGAGCAGAGATCATCTGATCTCCGGCCAGCATGTGCTGATTGTAGCTCAGCCTGAGAAGGTCAGCACTGTGGTCTCACATAGGCCGATATCAGAGTAAAACTCCCCTGATTTATCCTATATTGGATCTTTCTGAACTCCAGTCTCAAACAGCGAAACTTAAATGTCCCCAAATGAGATAAAGACCAAATCACAAGAGCACTGAGCGACAGGAAGTGTGGAAAACGGAAAGAAAGCAGCTCACTGATGCATGGGCAGACCTTAGGTTGTGTGTCCTCACGGTTTGGTTGTCTGAACATACGTCGGATCACTTTCGGGGACATAATGGGGCCAGCTCTGTTCTGTAGCTCAGGAGAGGTACTTCAGCTCTCAAACTGGTAAACCAATTCAATTTTCTACTGTCATTCCTCCTTATTTTATACACCCTGAAGAACCCAAAGTCCCAAATCTAGCTGTTATTTGTAAAGCTGTTCCTGACGACAGTTTTTCTCCTCCTTTTCTCCTCCTTTTTTCCATGTCCGGCTGTCCTTGGTTTGTAGCTGTGTTCACTGTTCTGATCATATCCGTTTGGGTTTAGAAATGTGAGGGACTAATCTCACTGCTGTTCTCTTTTATATGTCATGTTACCTCATAAAAACTTCAAATTCCGCTTGCAGCTTGGTAATTAACATCAAAAATACGTTAGGCGTGCATTTGCATTTCAGCCCAAACAGTTAAGGACTGCAGAAGAAGCAGGTTTCTGTCTCTCAGCCCAGCTCACAGTTTTTATCATGACTTTTTATTTTCATCCAAGGCCAACGGAAAGAGGAAACATTTTTCTTTATTTCTAGAAAAATGATAACACTGCTGCACATAATGTGCCAGGAAATGGGTTCATTTTAATTAAAATATTTCTGTGTGCATTTTCCAACTCCCAACCGAACCCACTGACACATGTCTATCAGAGCTATCCCAGTGATGTTTAGCTGTGTAATACGTGTTGACATGATTGTTGCTCTAAAAACACCCAGTGGATCCGTTCTTCTGCCCTAAGAGGGAGGAGGCCTGTCCAGGATCTGCTGCTTCGTTTCTCCATGCGGTGAAGCGAGAAGCACGGGCTAAATCTGAATCCGAGTCCCTTCCTCAAGATACTTCTAGAACGTTTAGGCCCCTTTCAAGGAGAGACTCCAGGCGTCATGACGCGTGTCAATTTTAAAAGGACAGAAGTGAGAAAAAGTGGCTGAGGGAATGTTTTTTTGGAGCGCTTTGACCTTTTACTTCTCAGCAAGCCAGCACTGGAGGGGTTGAGGAAAAAAGCAAGTCTTGAAGAAAATGTGCTTTTCATTTTAGGTTTTTACGTCACGGAACATTAAAAGAAAAACAGTTTCATGGTGCGTCAGTCTCTCCCTTTGGGTCCACAGCGTCTGCTTTACAGGCCCAGCTGAATGGAGCTGCTGATAAAGAACCATTCCAGCTATGTGAGACTCCTTAATCCAGACCAGGCTTGTTCCAGTAGCTCCTGTCTCATTCTGTGGAGAGACACACAGTCAGATGGGTGGAAGGATGGTTGGGTGGATAGACACCTACATATAAAATGCATACTAAATATCCCCCTTTATTTTTTAGACTAAGAGAGCGCAGTTTTCTGAGAAGGTGCTTGACATTCCGGGCTTCCTGGTTGGCCTTTACTGGTTGGTTGAGAGCAGTCCCTGATGCGGCTCTGCCTGTTTGTGTCCGTCTGTGTGCAGCTGAATAAGAACCGGCCGGTGACCACCCGCAGCGTCCTGCAGATCCTGCGGCTCCACGTGTCCGTGCCCCAGTGTGACGTCTTCGGCTACCTGAGCATCGACCACCAGCTGGTGGTCCTCATCGTGCCGGTGGACCACCAGCCCACCCCTCTGCAGGTGACGCAAAAAACTAACCCGGGTTTAGCTCTCGGAATGAGTTTTCTGGACATAAAGATTTATGATGTGGAGGGTCTGGGCAGCAGCTTCCTCTCTGTGTAGTTTGTTGGTGTTCCATTGTGTTGTTTGTGGGGCTGACAAAGGCAACAGAGATGTTTATCAGACCAGAAGGTTCAAACCATGCTAGAAGTGCCTTGATATCACAAAAACTCTCAACAGAATTAGATATTCTACTGTCTCTAAAGGCTTCTTGTCATTTCCCAATCAAATGACCCTATGGTTCTCCTCTAAAGTCAAAACAGTTTTACAGGTTGGTACCATTCTCCTGACCCTGCCCCCACTGGACATAGAATACTGACCCAAGTCTCAGTGATTCCATCAGAAGGTTTTCAGGCTTGGTGGCTTAAATTCAGACGATAGGTTTTCATATGAATGCTTTTGGCTTCAGGTATATAATTGCTTTTTTTATTCAGATCAATAGCTGTACAGGTCTGAGGAGACTCTGAGCTGTGTATCCCATAGCTCTCAGAGTTTTAACCATCAGAACATTATCATAAAATAATAAAACATCACATTCACCCGGCCAAGTATTAAAATTAGATCAGTCAAACCATAAAAAGAACGGCACTGCATGAAATACTAGTCTTAGGTTATTTTTTATTTATCGGAATTCATTTAAAACGAAAAGGGAGTGGGTGGAAAAACTAAAACTCTGTATGATTCATAAGCTTGTAGAATCAGTGAGTGATCATTTTGTTGGAACCATTCTTCGTAACAAGATGACTTAAGATTATTTGCAGAATTTGTTGATTTGCTTCCCTCTCAAAGTTATTAAATACCAAAGATCTTTTTTAGCTCTTGAGCTTCACATCTGTGTGTGTGGACGGTAGTCCAGGCCGATGCGGTTTGTTCTAATATTTAACAAGACTGGATGAAATAGCTACAGTAGCCTGAATCCTGGAGGAATGAACTTCTGAACATGTTTTCAGAAACTACATACAGAGAGGCTCATTAATCAATTCAGTCCAACTCAAACTGACTCAGACATCCGCTTTGTTTGGAAGGCTTTGGGTAGGTGTGGGTGGTTGTGTGTCTCTGTGTGATTCTGTGATGGACTGACCCTGGACAGGTCACCTGTCCATCACGGGACCACACAGAGACACACAACCACACACTCACTCACCAATTAGAGTGTTCAGTTAACCGAACGTTGCATGTTTTTGGACTTTGGGAGGAAACACAGCGAGAACCAGCAGACTCCAGGTCCCGCTTCCTGCAGGGACCCGAACCAGGAACCACCAGACCAGCATGCCCCCCCATCATCCACATACCTATTCAGACCATTTGAACAATTGAGCGACATTTACAACTTGTTTAAAGTATTGTGGACAAAATCCATTTTTCTTTTTTACAAAATAACACAAGTACATCTCGAGGAATTTTCTATCCACTCAAAAAATAACACGCTAGAATAACTTGGTCAGAGATATGTGGCCGCTGCTTTCACCTGGACCTCTGGCAGCAGAGGTCAGATGCAGGACTGATGCGTGGTGCATTCCTGGTGGAGGAGGTACTGTATGCAGGGCCGGAGCTGGAACGCAGCCCTGATCATCATACTCCCAGCTAAAGCCAGCACCAGGTCTTTGTGCATCGCCCGGGGACTCAAACACAAAGGGACAATAGCTGAAAAATACACATTTTAAAAACTCATAAATCCAAAAGAGAGCGAGGACAGAGGAAAATCGGCAGTGGTGAGCTTTCACCTGGTGGACGGCGTTAGCTAAGCCTCACCTTGAAGAGTCTTCTGTCTGGTGCAATACAGCATTTGAATTGAAACCATGAAAAGACGATCTCTCTGAATCCTTCTTCCATCTGAAATGCACACTGTAGAGAGGCTGGCCGTGGGCAGTTGCACTTTTGTCCATTTTTACCTGCAGATCATCACGGCAAACAGGAAACACTGTGACCTTCAGGCTACGGTGTTTCTGAAGAGGGAAATGGACGAGGTAGAAATAACTTAATGGACCCTTTTCCCTGACATGGGTGGTCAGCGGTGAGGTTTTTGCCTGCCCGGTGCCTCTGGTTGAGGTCTGGACTGGAAAAAAAAACAGCAGGAAACAAATTAACACTTAAAAATGATGTGAAAATATCCATACATTCCAAGACTTTTAACACTTGGTAAATTCACCGGATAACTGCCAGGATTTTTCCACCCTGACTGCAGCTTTTTTGCTTTTTCTCGAAGTTTTCAGAACAGGTGATTTGATAATTTGCATGTCACTTCTGACTTATTAATTATTGTATTAATATTGTGGTAAAAGCTGAGTGAATTATCAACAAAAACTAGAAAATGATATGGTTAAATCAGTTCCGGATGCATTTTCCTGCTGCTCCCCTGCTGTGATGGTGTGGAAAGCAGTAGAGAAATAATCAGATAGAAAGAGAGTTGTGTGATTTGGGTGGATATGGGATGGGTTTGGCTCTGCTCATACCTTAGAGAACACAAATGCTGCCTTTTGTACAAAGCTTTTGAAAGATTCTGACAGACAAAGCCTTATTTTTGTTTGTCTGTCAGAATGAAAAGAAAAGAAGAATCAGTATTCCATTCCAGGCATTTCATGTTGCCTTCAAGGTTGATTCCAACTCTTTTCAATTCGTTGTTCTTCTCGAGCCTCCGTCTTTTGAGAACTAAAATGCACCAAATCCAAGGAACTGACAGTTTTCTGTTAATAAGTAATGCTGTTTCACTGGGTTTTTCATATTGAAAAAAAACAGTTTGTTAGTGATACAAAAACTGAGAAAGGTTTTTTATTTTATGAGCCATAGTGAGTAGCCAGCAGGTTATGAAACAGCGGTGCTAATGTCAGGTATGTCTCTTGGATTCCAATTAAATATTTATCAACTTACTACACAGTTCTTTCAGCATATATACCACAGCAACATAACATGCAGGGAATAGGGCACAGGGAGATACATTATTTAAGAACCAAAACATCTGGATTAAAAGATTTTATAGCTAAGAAACTCAAACTAAGAACAGTTCACGTGACCGGCTTTTGAAAACACGTGTAGTTCGGCCATGAAAATCTCCTGACTTAACGATCCGTGAAACAATGAGAGGCAGTGAACAAAGAGACTGGAAAAGAGGCAGAGAGTTTCAGGCACAAGAGCCTCGAAAGAAAAACCGAGCATTAAAAACCCACAACAATGAGCAGTTGAGACTTCCTCTGAAGGCTTTTCCTAGGCTGTTACTAGGCAACAGCTCTGAAAGCTTCTAATTAACAGATATTGAGACAGACTGTATATATTCTGAATAGGGTATGTTCACATTCAGTGTAGAGTTTGAATTGTAAATAAAAATGCGTATTCAAAGGCATTGCACATAAACTTAATTATAAAGCTCAGAACAGGGTTTTCACCTGGTCTCTAGGAATTCTGATGACCCTTTAAAGGAAATAAAGCAGAGTGGATCTGCCCAAAAGGAACAGATTTTTTACCCTCGCAGTAATGCTGTTTCCAGCTGTAGTTTGATTCCACACATCTGTCTGTACCTGTCTGTTATGCCCCCCTTATGCTTACCACTTCATCTTTAAATATTTAGGCCCTTTAAAACTTAGCCTTCCTCTTGCTCTTTGGTTCTCACATTCCACAGTAGCATATTTCTTAGATAGCCTCCATCACAGTGGGCATTTAAAGTGGGCATAATAATTTTGTGGATGTCTTTGTGAAAGTGTTCAGCCTGGAAGTCTTTGTACATCTCAGATTTTCTGTACCTGAGCTGGAATTTATGTAACAGGAGGCTGTTTTAAAAATTATTATAGCTTCTACGTTAGTGTAGCTTATTAAAAGAGCTAAAGGAGATAGACTGAGTAAGACTCCGTCACACAGGTCCAAACATGGGAAACTCACCGGACAGCGACATTCCTGCAAAATCCTTAAGTCCATCAGATGTCTGTGGTGAAAGCTGTGCTATACTGCCACAGGTCGGGGTCCATTTCTCTGGTTTTCGGTGGTGCATGGAGGCTGATTTCTTCCAGGGATTTTTTTTGGATGTGTCAAAGCTTATATTTCAGCAGTATCAACTGGATATCAAAACCAGTTTATCAGATCGAGACAGAGCAAAGTGCTCTCCAGTTCCAGTCGGTTGCCCAAAGTTTGGATTTTTGGCTGTTTTGGCTGTTTGTTTTCTGCTTTATGGAAATCAAACTCATGACTTTATCCACATATTAGAAACGTGCTGACATTTATCCAATATGTGGATAACCTCTTCCTGGTTTCTGACCTCTGTCCCCACCGTTTGAGTGTATAATCTCATTTCTCGTTGAAACCAGGCAGCCCAGCATCAGATTCCCACTTTGGTGAACAATATATGGCGATATAAACTCAGATGCACTCTGGGAAGAGTTTGTCAAACCGCTACAGGCTGAGTGAGCGCTGTGGTGCTGACTCAGAGGCAGCTCGCTGAAAATCCGATTGCTTTTCCTGTATTTTCCAGATTGAAGCCTGCAGTAAGGAGGCGGAGAAGATCGATGCCCTCATCAACTACGCCAGCCCCACCCTGGTGTCCCACGTGCCGCTGTCCGCCTTCCTCAGCTCCGACATCAGGACCGCCTTCATCCGGTCAGCCGGGGCCCCGCTGGCCCCCCCGCTGGCCCCGGGCCTGGTTCTCCTGCTGGCCCTCCTCATTACAGCCATCCCCGGCCTCCCGCAGCTTTAAGGCCCCACCCCCCCGCTCCGGTCCTCCTCCCCGGGGGCCCGCCGTGACAATCAACCCCTCCGAATCACCCGCGTTTTAACAATCAATCTGGTGGAAAAGCTATTATTATTATTATTATGGAGAGCTTTGGTATGAACAGTGTTAATTGTGTTGGTTTCCTCCCCGGGCTTTCCTCCGGCGGAGTGTGTGAGTGTGTGAGTGTGTGAGTGTGTGAGTGTGTGTTTGACCTTTGAGGAGCGTTTGGCCTCGGCGCTTTATGAGGAGTCCCAGCAGAAAACTGCTAAGTGGGGATGTACATTTGATGAGTCATGCTCTCTGATGCCCAGGCTTTGTGTGTGTGTGTGCGTGTGTGTGTGTGTGTGTGTGTGTGTGCAAGTGAAGGTCCGAGACAGACGAGGGGAGAAATCTCCTCAGTGGGCAGCACAGTTGTGTGATGAGTGAGTTGTGTTTCTGTGTGAGTTTGGGTCTGGTTAGCCTTTAAGTGACCACTCCTGTGCGGTGTCCACGGGTCAGGTGCATACAGACCAGGCCCTGGAACCTCAAACCTCATCAGTATTAATGCCAGGCTCATGAACCGAGCCCGCTCCGATGGACTTTAGCCATCCTCCGGTCAGTTCGGACCACCGACCAGACAAATTGGCCCCAAATCAGGACACGTGAAAAGTCCAATTGACAGGAGCAGAACGGAGGAGTTTCGGCTCTTTTTGGAGCCGCTCAAACACCAAACTGTGAACAGGGAAGCTCTCCTCCAAAGCAAAAGCTGGAAACACTTTCCTGGGACGTGGTGCTCATATCAAGTGCAGGTATCAGCAGCAAAAGCACCAAAATAACATTTTAAAAGTGGGATTTAAGGGGATTAATTCGAGAACGTGAGAACCTAAAAGCAAAACAATGCCATTCTTACACTCACAGTAAATCGATGGCAAGATTTGCCTCTTCATACATCTGAAATCATTTTCGGAATACAGTGTCACCTGTTAAAGTTAAAGACAAAATGCTGCATTTTATGATCAGATTGGGAAACTGGAGTGAGATCTTAAATTTAGCTCCTGTCCTGATGGAATTTGATCCTCAACAATCAGCTAATGGAACACACACATGAGCTAATGAAGGCCTTATACGTCGTTCCATATGAATCTCAGCTCTTTTTCTGTCATAATTGAATTGATAATGGATCAAAAACACAGTGTGGTAAAACACTGATTATTAAAGCTTAAAAATCTGAATCTGAACAAAATCCTGTAAAGTACATCATGGTGAATTATGGTGGAAGTATTTTTACATATGCTAAATTCTGACCTTGGTGATTTGAATCTGGAAAAGGCTTCATTTGTTGAGCCAAACGGAGCCTGTGATTCTCTGTGATGAACTGAGCTGCCTCTGGTTTTAACTGGAGGACTCTGTGAAAGGTTAATGCCTTCCTATTGAGACACAGAAAGAGTATTTTATGAGCACCACTCCTAACAAAGTGCATTGGAGAAGTTTCCCTTGTCAATGGTCCATTCTGGTATAAAGGTCTGGATCAGCACTCCCTTTGTTTGAGGCCAGTAGAACCGAAAAGCGTTAAAAGGGAAGTTCTGTCAGTTCATGTGAGCTAGAAGCCATCAAACAACAAAGACAATCATTCAGTCCACTTAAGGATAAGAAAAAGATTTTTCCACAGTATGCTTTGCATATAGTGTCTTATATGAAGTATTAATGAAAAGTAATAACTTTATATTTGTTAAATGTCTATATTTGATATTGCTCTAATAATGAATTGAAATACTGATCACCTATGTGCCATGTTTTTAAATAAATAGTTTCTATTCTCTATTGCATGATGACAATTATGAAGTATCTTTATTCCAGAATGTCGTACAGAGTGTGTTGTTCTGTTGTGTGTTTGTCTATCTGCCTGTACAGCACAAAATGTACCGATTTCTAACAGTATTACTGTGCTAGGCAGCTCTGTAGCAGGGAACCCCACCACAGATCCTTCTTATTCCTATTATTATTATTATTATCCTTTTTATTATTGTGAATACCATGTGAATATAATTTTGTATTCTTTGTCATTTCTCTTGAGCCTAATTTGATTTAAATATATTTCAAGATTTTGTATGAGGTCAATAAATTTCATATTACATCAACACAACACCAGTCGAAGGACTCGTTATTGGTCAGCTGAGAAAATCCCTGGACAATCCCGCTGTGTGTGGCTTTATGTGGCCTAGCTTAGCCTAACATCTGGGGGAACAACTGGTTTTCTTCATGCAAAATATGGAACATATCCCTTATTGTTTTTCTTTTTTAGATCTACAGTATGTTTCAGAGGTTGATTTAGCTTTTTGTGCATGTGGGTGCATACATATGCCTTAATTATCTTTTTACTTTTTCCCTTTTTTGAAGTAACTTATCTTGATAAAGAACTAATAGAATACATCATTGCATATATCAAAACCTCAACCTCATTATGCTTTTCATCGGGGTGACAGAAAATGTTGAGAAAAACAAAGGAGACGTCGGGGAAAGCTAACACACGGTTCTGTAACCCTGTAGTGTATCTGTTATTAGTTTGTATGTGAGAAACTGATGTGAGGGTGGTGGGGGGTGGGGGGGGTGGTTGAACAGAACCAAAGCAACTCTGAAAGCATCTGGACCGAACCATCAGGCAAAGGTCAGGGGTCATGTGGCCACAGCTCCGGAGAACTGTTGTGGTCAAACGCTGAAAGAAGCAGTCATCAAATTCCAAACAATTGATTGTATAATATTCCAAAATAAAAAACTCAAAGTAAGCATTTTGAAACCAAGTGATAAGCAAAGTAACATATCAGCTCTCAGCAAGTAAACATGATGGAAGTCGAACTCATTCTGACTCGGACTTCTACTCTTCTTTGCTCCTCTCTGGGTTATCGCTCTGTTGACTCACATGTTGTTCCACAGATGTGTCCTCTCTTCTTTTAGACTATAATCACTATCCGTTGTCTCAGGAGTTTGACCTCTCTCACTGTGGCAAAATGATATGCAGGGTCAGTAAAAAATATTCTCCCTAAGCTGCCATGTTTACAGTTCCTGTCATGTTCTAATTCAGACTGAGACGTGTTTAGTCCGCTTTACTGAGGGATATGCAATAGAAATAAACTAATGTATAAATAAGGTCAAAATATGTCGGTGTACGAAAAGATAAGAGGGTTGAGGCAATTTAAACTGCCCCATGTCCACGGATGAGTCTCACTCCTCTGTATTGGAGCTCTTCTCCGTTTGCCTGCTCAGAATACAGCTTTCATGTTTTGAAGCAGATGCATAAGTCGGTGTTTTTCCCCGGTAAGAAGAGACTCTTTTCAAGTTGAAAAGAGACAGCGGGAGGGATTTTGTCTGAATTCAGGAGAAAAAGCTGCTTGCTGCCTGATGACATGGTATTGTGCAACAACCACCCAGAAAAAAATTGGAGGCCTTCCTGTCCTTCAGGTTCATGGAGACACTTTGGATGGTTTTCCAGGCCAAGGACCCCCAAACTGATGAGCGGGGACCCCCTAATTACATATATTGTATGAAATTGTGGTGGTCCTATAGTTTGTAAATGTCCCTTGTCATTGGGCATTCAGTACTAAGATCCTCTGATAATCCACAGGTTTAAATATTCCTGTTTTTACTGTAAACATCTGGTTCTGGTTCCTGGTTGGTGGGACAGGTGTTGTGAATGAAACGGTGCCCAGCTTGAAAGAGCTCCTGTGTGATAGATAGATAGATAGATAGATAGATAGATAGATAGATAGATAGAT